CGCAGCCTGCCGAGGATGGAGGTAAGTTTATATAATAAAAACCTTTTTGATGACAAACTAATATAAAAGCAAGAAAGAAGGCTAGGGGACCTGTCTTTCTTACTTTTATATGCTGACTATAGTGGTCCTTTAAGTAGTTTTTTTTTTTTTTTTCATGAATCAAGTAACTTAATTTATGAGAGTTTCCGAGCAGTTAGAGCCTTTTTTCTTAATTGTGGCCTGCAGTGTGTGTAGTAGAATATATTATTTTCTGGCATTACATGTCCAACACATGACAGTCTTTCAGCATGAGCTGGGGAATTGACCAATAAGAGGCTTTTCATCAAGAAGCCTCTGTGCTGAAGCCACGAGCATGCAAGCATTCGTGGCTCACCTATTACAGCTCATTGAGAAGGGGGAAGGCATGAATATGCCTTCATTAGTCTAGCAAGCCTGGAACTTCTGTTAGTTCTGTGGAGCTAATGGAAGTGGTGGATATCTTCCCACCTGTCTGATTAAACACTTTTGGTACTTGTTTAAAGGGACACTGTAGGCACCCAGACCACTTAAGCCAATTGAAGTGGTCTGCATGCCAACTCCCATCACCCTTAACCCGGAACATGCAGTAATAACCTGCTAGAATTAACTTCTCCTCTAGTGGCTCTCTACCAGACAGCCACCAGAGGGACTTCCAAGTTCATAGATGACTTTTATGTATGAGGATTTCCAGCGTCACCAAAATCCCCATAGGAAAGAATTAAATAGTGCTTTCCTACGAAGAGATCCTAATGCGAGCGCGGAAGGTCTCCCCTGCCGACGGACATTGGCGGAGGAGGGGCGTGGGCGGAGCTGAGCCAGTGCCAAGGGACATCGGTGCTGGACCCAGGTAATTAACAAAAGGGGTTATAAACTCCCTTCTGCACTACGGGGGTGGGCCTTGACAGAAGGGGAAGCTACAGTGCCAGGAAAAAGAGTTTGTGTCCTGGCACTATAGTTTCAATTGTTGAAAAAGAAAAAAATAGACTCCAGAAACTTAAAGCACTTCAGCAAGCTGTGTCTGGGGTGTTCAATTACATACTTTATACAAAAAGGTTGGGCTTCAATTTATTGTGGAGTACTGGTGCATGTAGTAGTTGTGAGCCATTCTCCTCATCACCTACTTTCACTTATTCCTTCTTAGAACTATTTGCTTTATCTGGGGATGGTCTGAACGCATTTGAGAGTGTAATGCCACTCTAGTTGGAAAGCAGCTATGTTATATATCCCTTCATGGCAGAGTTTTTAGTTTTAGTTTTGAGTAGATGTATTATTTTGTTTTTCTCTCTCTCATTTACTTCCTGGTTTCCTGTTCCTTTTCTCTGGTATTTCCTTGCTTTGGACTCTTTGCATTTGTTCATGTCCTGACTGAAGTCACAAGCATCCTAATGTGAATTTGGAATGATATTTCAAAAGGATTTTTGTAGCTTGTGTTTCTAGAGTAGAATGAGTATTTTTCAACAGGCAAGAAATGCTTTTCCTAATTAACATTTTATGTGTGCAAGGTTATTCACCAAACTCCTAATTGTAGGAAATTGGAATAAAAATTTTAGGCTAAATGTTTCCAGTAGTTGTTGGAGAAATAATAGCTAGAAGGAATAGTGTTTGTGTTAGCTACTATATCACAAATAAGCAGTATTTGTGTTTTGTTTTTGTTTTGTTTTTTACCCAAAGGGTTGAAGCAAAATATAATGTAAAGGCTGAGTACCCTAAGTAGAACATACACACAAATCATATTTTTGTCGGTTTGTTCTTGCCATGGACTGTAATTCATATCATTCACTGACAAAATAAAAAAAATAAAAAACTGTCTGGTAGAATAAATATTGCACAACCTTTATGATTTCACTCACAAAGCTTTTATGCTCGCTTCTTAGAGAATCTTTCCAATTCCGCTATTGCACTCTGAAATTACCATTTTCTGGTAAATTCCCTAAAAATCAGGTTCTTGAATTACTTTGAATGTTTATGAATTAAACACAATGAGGCTTCCACTTTTTCAAGTATGTTCTTATTTTATAAGATCGTTTCAGCAGTACATCATTTTTTATTTAAAAGTTGTGAATTTTTTCATTTATGGTAAATTGCTTGAATTTAAGAATGGTTTTGCATGATTTCTAAAATATGTCAATTTATCTAGGGATGGTAAATCGTGAAGTTCTGGAGCAGGTAGAGCGTGGGTACAGAATGTCATGTCCTCAAGGATGCCCAGAATCTCTGCACGAATTAATGAAACTGTGTTGGAAGAAAGACCCTGACGAAAGGCCAACCTTTGAATATATTCAGTCATTTTTAGAAGACTACTTTACTGCAACAGAGCCACAATACCAGCCTGGAGACAATCTATAAAAAGAAAAAAAAAAAAACTAAATCAAATGCACAAATCTGCCAAAAGTGAAAGAGACTTAAAAGTTCTGACTATTTCTAATGGGAAACGCAAAGAAAGTTGCGATCACTCTGCATGCTTACAGCAAACTGGAAAACCAGAGTATGGTTGCACAAAACCACTTTTAAAGTATTGTTATCTAACGGACAAATTAATGTGACTCTGTATAGGTCCCACAGACAGGTTTAATGGAAAGGAATTTCAAGGCTATAAAACAAAAGATGATAAAGCAAGAGTATGGCTATCCGTGTTTTAATACTGATCGTCAACACTTCAGGATGACAAAACTTAGTTTAACAGTGTGGACCAAACATTTCACCTCTGTTCCCCAAAATTCTCCCATGTCAAATTTAGTAGTACAGGACGCAACATCTTTTTCTTACCAAATACACCAAATCTGCAAAAACCCCTTGTTCTGTGTGCTCCCGGTCATTTTCAGGTAAAACATGAACCTCAAAATATAGAGCTCCGTGCTGAAAAATGAAATACTGAACTAGCCATCATCAACTAATGTAGTTGGGAACAACTTCTTATATTGGTATGAACAGTTCAGTCTGAAGGGTATTACTTAACAAGTGGTTACTTTGTACATAAATAGATGACAGTGTGTCACTGTTACAAAATAAAAAAGGAAAACTCAACATGCAATGAAAGGCTAACTTTTTATTATAATTCTTTTGGTGACCTGCATTATAATGCGAAGGATGAAGTCTGCAGTTATTCTTTTAGCAACAGATGTGTACAATCATGGTGTTAAGACACATGATGTTGGTTGCCGTTAGTTCAGGGATTTCAATGATAGCACTTTGCTTTTTTTTTTGATCGATAATTAGAAAGTATCTTGCAGTGTGGAGTGATTGGAAATAAAATGTGAATGCTTTAATAGGCTGTATGCAGGCATATTATTATTATTTTTTTTTATATATATATATTATTTTAGTATAGAATCATCGGCAATGCTGACTGGCCTACTTGCTTATGAAAGAGTTTGATTTCAGCTGAAACATATCTGGCAATAAATTACCTTTTTTTTTTTTCTTTAAAAATAAAATCAGAAATTCTCATCTTTATATCACAAGTCTTTAAATTTTGTGATGTTTTTTGTTTTATAAATCTTTTGAACATTTTGTCCTGTTCAATCCGAGCTTATTAGTTGGGGGGAACAGAAAAATGAATTCTGTTTACAATACGTGTTTAATCCATTTCACCAATATGGTTTCATTTTAAAGGCTGTGCCATCATTTTCCATTCTTACTATCAAGCAGTTTTTGTTTTTTTAAAAAGGGCTTTATATGAACACTATGGAATTGTATCTTTTATAAATCTTTTCAAGCCAATATAAATTTAACTCTGTAAGTTGTATGTACTAAATCCATAAAGGCAAAGCACTGTGTATGGTAGTGTTGCTGCCCATCATTGTGTTTTCTTTACGAAAGAGTCCTGTAATAATGTTTGTATAGTAAAAAAACAGAAAATTAAAGAAAAAGAAAACAATTGCTTGCATTTATTTTAAATGATCATGTGAATACACCTATCTAATGAAAGGGGAGATTATGGGTTCAAACATTAACACAATTTTATGTAAACCTCCCTGTTACATACATAGGACATCAAGATGTAAAATAAACAAGACCTTTTTTAAATGGGATCCTTTCCTTTATTGTTGCAATGCTTCATTCGAACTTGACAGACCTTCGATGGAGGACTCCATCGTGAGAGAGAGAATTGGCATTTTTGTCCAGGTATTGGCTGTGAATTTCTCTCCATCTGTTTCATGAGTTTAAATTATCTGTCAGTGTTCCATGTGTTCAAAATACTGGTAGGCACATGTACTAGTAACCCTTTACTAGTACATGTGCCTACTCTAGTGGATCGAACAAGAACACTTGAGCTTCGAAATACATGGGTGGTTCACAATTTTCTATGGTGCCTTATTGCTTGATGAACATGTTTCAGTGGATTTCAGGGATTGGTGATACATGACCCAGTTTGAGCAATATTTAGTCGACATTTCCCTATTCCCTCTACTTCACAAGTGCCACACAGAACAAATTATTCTTTGTCTCTTCTGTTTTTCTACATGTTTCAGTGACTGCCTAATTTCTAGCGATCTAGCTATAGTTTACCCACCACCAGCACTGGCAGCCAACCATTTCTATCCAGATTGGTATTTAAGTGTAAATTCCAAATTATCACTGTAGCTAAAAGAGGTTGTAGGCTACAGTTGTTTGGGAGATAATTTTTTGGCAAACCATTGCCAAACAGTTTAACAAAAAAAGTGGGGGTGGTAATTTTTAATTAATTGTATGTTTTGGATGGGATAGTTTTGCTATATATTTTTTTGGCCAATTTTATAGTTTTGTTCTTGTTTTTTGCAAAACAAAAACCTTTTTGCACCATTTTGCGTGATAACCTGGCCTTCTCTGTCTCAATTTCTATTCTAAAATATTTTTTTTCCACATATTAATCACAAACTAATTATAAAAATATAATATGTAACATGCGTGACAATCAGTGAATATTTAGGTATAAAATAAGTATACAATATGGCAGTGGTTTAACACAACTTATAGTTCAATCTAGCAACAGTTATATCGACATGTATGCAGTTTTCAACAAGATTTACAACCTGGCACTTCACTTTAAAATCAGCAGCACCAAGCAATAAAAACTTTAGCTGACAGCTAAAGTTTTTATTGCTTGGTGCTGCTGATTTTAAAGTGAAGTGCCAGGTTGTAAATCTTGTTGAAAACTGCATACATGTCGATCACACTGAATTAACTCATATACTGCTGGCTGCAATTCTCATAGGCAAGATATCCTTTTATATTGCAATTTTACAAATACAATATTTCACATTCTAGATCATTTGTCCATTTCTATGTCCATTCAATAAGAATAATTCTAACCAGATTTTACATTTGCAGAATTTTAACTTCCTTAATTAACATTCACTTTTTCTAAATTACGTAAGTTAATATATCTGGATAATTGCCTGGTACTCTAATTTGAAGTTAAAAGTGATATAGAGTTCATTGGTCCACCTGCAGGAATGGAATTACGAATTCTATATATTAACGAATCATAACTCCTTAATGTTGGAATCACCAGCTTTTAACCAAGTATATTCTGCCTTTTTAGTAAAATCTATTTAATTAAATAAAAACAGCATAATTACCAGTTGTAGAGTTTCTATCGGATTTGTAGATATGTCCCAGGAATTTTGAATGCAAGTATGATGAGAGAATTGTGTGAATTTAGAAAAGTTTTCAGAGTTCTAAATTTTTAAAGAATTTCAAAGTTAAGTGGTAGTTGGAAAAGATACAGAGAATTAGGGGTGTCTGATGTCGGAGTCTGGTTCTTGAGTGTGAGAGTTCCCTTCGCTCTCCTTTGTCCTTAATTTTTTAAAGGAGAAGTTCTCTACACGTCACTAGTTAATAAGACCAATAGAGAACTGTGGGCATGTCTTCCCTACAGACCATCATCTAGATTTTGATCAGTAGATGGCGCAATTACATCACAGAAAATTCTTGTCAGGGGTTCCATTTACCTTTTTGTATAATGGGTTAACTGCATTTCGTGATGCGTTTGACATCATCTTGGTTATCTTTATGGTTACCTATTCGTCAAAGACATGTCACTCTTCAAAGCGTTTTCTTTGGTTTCAGCCAGACTGATGTCTGCAGTTCTCGCCATATGTTAGATTTCTGCCACGTCCTAAACTCTTCTTCACCTCTCTATACAATGGAACTTTGTAAGATTCCGTTATTTATTTATTTTTTTAAAGTAAAATTAATTACTTAGGGTTATCTGTCATTGGTAATCCTGTGTCTGGTTTTCTTGTGTGAAACTGTGTGTAGTAATATTACACATATTCCACCAATGTTAAATAATATATTTCTTCATTGATATTATATCCGTGAATATTCTATATTATTAACTTAGTACTATTTATATATGATTATCATAATTATGGTTATATGTGGATTGTGTGTGTGTGTGTGTGTGTGTGTGTGTATATATATATATATATACACACACACACACACGATGTCTAACAACCCAGAGACAAATGTGTGTGTGTATTTTATATATATAGATATAGATATAGATATATAGATAGATATATATATAATATATATATATATAATATATATATATATATACACACACACACACATTTGTCTCTGGGTTGTTAGACATCATGTTTACATTAGTCACATTTCTTAGCTCAGGCTTGAATGAATAGTTACACAGAAGTAAAAATGTGTCTGTCTTTGCATTGTGATACAAAATGGAGTCACCTCTGTTCTGACTTACAGTACACATTTTTAATTTCTGTCTTAACATAAAATGTCTGCCAGTATAAATATACTGACAACAAACACTGCCACACATGCAGATACATAGACAAACAGATACAATCACTGACACACATACAGATACAAACACTGACACACATGCAAATACACAGATGCAGTGCACACACAGATACAAGCTACATCCCCACCCTACACACAGACACACGCTACATCCCCAGCACACACACACAGACATTTTAAATCCCCAGCACAAACACAGACACACATTTCATCCCCAGCATACTGACACAGAGACACTACCATTGCAGAAGCATATATGTTGTTTTTTTGGGGGGGTCGGGGGTAGCACTTTTAATACTTGGTCTTGCTTTTGCCTTGCCCCTTATCGGACTCTGTTTGCCTTGGACTTTGTTTACTTATTTTACAAGTATTGCATTATTAGTTCCATAACCCCAAAAAGTGACATAACAACTGAGCCATCTTCATGGAACTCGCAGATTTGGCAGAAGCTATACAAAATATGTCCCGCCAGATAGAAGCACTTGGCCAATCCATGCATGATCTCCAACATGATCAAGCACAACTACATTCCCAGATGAGAGAACTCCACGCCACGCTTCCTTGTATTTTTATTTTTTGCTGTTTATAGTTCAAAAAAATTCCCCCCCCTTTTTTTTTTCTCTTGCTTTTTTATTTCCTTCCTTGTGTGTGCTGCTTCTGTTGAGCTAATTAGAGGAGTGTCCCATAATTTCCACCTGTTTGGGATTTGTATTACCAATATAAACCCATTACTGACTCACAGAGCTTCCTCACTGGAGTTTGCTAGAAAGTAGGCTATTTAAAGTAGTCTCTTTTAAATAGGAGTTAAAACAACAGGAGTTGAAACCTACAAGGGAGTTTAAACCAAGAGGGTAAATATTGTTTTGCTCACTTGTGTTTTTTAATAACTGGGGATGAGTGCTAGCAAGATTGCGAGTTTTACTTAGTGCACATTCTGCTGCATGTATATATGAATGGATGAATCTGTCCAGGGTCCATACCTCTGAGGCGGGTGTGAGCAAGTGGTTTTTCTGGAAGCTCAGATTGGAGATCTGGAGAGGGAAATTGCAACACTGAGGAAGATTGACAATCTTGAGAGGAGTCTACTGCTCACTGAGCAGAGTTTGGTGGGGGGCAGGGCCGGCCTCAGGTGTTCAGGAGCCCTGTGGGAGCCAATCTTGTGGCGCCCCCCTCGCCATTTTTGTTTGACCCCCTCTAAACTATTTCAGGCACATTCACAATCTGTCGCCTGCACCCCCTTCAGTAAAACCCTGCCCCTTTCATCAGCCCCCAGCCCCCTGCCCCCATTTATCACTAGCCCCCTTCAATAAAACACAATAGTTATATATAAACAAAAAAAAGCAATAAGGACAAGCACCTACATTAAAGGCTGCTGCTCCCTGGATCCAGCTGTCCCTTTTTCCCACTCCGCCGATTCGCCGACTGAAGAACACCTACCTTCCTCCTCCACGCTACTCCTGCATTCCAATTTGGGCTGGCTTGTGAGTGACTGACTGTAAGCCACCTGTCGCCCCTGTCGCCATGGCGCCCTGTGCGGCAGCACAGCTCGCACACCCCAAAGGCCGGCCCTGGTTACAGTCACACACAAAGGCAGACAGTCAGGCACAGTTACACAGGCAGATGGTCACACACACACACACACACACAGGCAGACAAACACTGTTACAGTCACACAGAGTACAGTCACAGACAGAGTACAGTCTCTCACACACAGGAAGACAGTCATACATAGAGAGAACAGTCAGACACTGTTACAGTCACACACAGGCAGACAGTCACACACAGACAAACAGTCAGACTTAGTCTCACACACACACAGGCAGACAGTCACACACAGAGAAAAGTCACACACACACACATGCAGACAGTCACACACAGAATACAGTCACACATACAATTATCTCTTTCCCTTATGGCTGGAAGGGAGGAGTAGAAGCAGGGATTCTTTTCTGTGCAGCAAGTACCTGAAGCTTCAGTGAGCTGCAAGCTCCGCTCCGGCTGATTTTTAGCATGGCTTCCTCCATGCGGTAAGCTCCGCCCACACTGTTTGGTAAGCCCTGCCCATTTACTTGCATAGTCCTCGTGGGAAATAATGAATCCTCCACCCGGGGACTTCCTTTGGCTCCCCCTGTACTCACCCGGCCATGTGCGAGCTGTGTCGGCCACATGGCGCCCTTTGCGGCCGCACAGCTCGCACACACTTAAGGCCGGCCCTGAGTGGGGGCAGGTAGTGGAGGAGATGAGACAGCTGGAGAACTGGCACATAGCTGGGGAACAGTGGGGCGAGAAAGCGGGGGGTGGGGGGAAGAGGAAAGGTTTAGCTGGTCCTGATCTGGTGCAGCCTAACATATTTGCAAATTTGAGTGAAGATGTTGGGAGCATCAGCTTAGGAGTAGCTGTACTGCAGGAAGCTATTCCTTCTAACAGCCATGGGAACAGCCCCTCTAGTACCGGTGGGGTTGAGTGTAAGGAAGGCTAGACAGGTTGTGGTCGTAGGGGACACTATTGTTAAGAGAGTAGATAGGGTAATCTGCCCCTCTGATCGGCTCAACCGGACAGTTTGCTGTCTCCTTGGTGCTTGGGTCCATCTTGCTGACAGAGTGGAGGGATTATTGGGAGGGGATGGGGATGACACAGCCAGGTTCGGGGGAAGGATTTCTGCCGCCCTAGGCAAAGATCAATTTTGCCGCCCCCTCATGTCACTCTCTCACTGGCAGACACACTCACTCGCTGACAGACACACACACACACACACACACACACACAGACACTCACTGACAGACACTCATTGGCATACATACATACATACACTCACTCACTCACTGGCAGACACACACACAGGCAGACACTCACTGAAAGACACTCACTGACATACACACACACACACAGACACTCACTGACATACATACACTCACTCACTGACAGACACCCACACAGGCAGATACTCACTGACATACATACGGTCACTCACCGACAGACACACACACAGGCAGACACTCACTGACATACATACACTCACTCACTAACAGACACACACAGAAACTCACTGACATACATACTCACTCAGTGACAGACACACACACAGGCAGACACTCACTGACATACACTCACTCACTGACAGACACACACACAGACACTCACTGAGAGACACACACACACAGACTGACACTCACTTACATACATACACTAACTCACTGACAGACACACATACAAACACACTCACTGGCAGTCAAACACTCACACGCTCACTGACACAGACTCAGACATCCAGCCTCCTTACCTCCCTGGGGTCCAGTGTGGGGCAGCTCTTCCTTCCTCCAGTGCGCTGTTTAGTATGCCGTGGCCAGAATGATGTCATATTCTGGCTGCCGGCATCATAC